AGCATATAATAAGCTTTTGGAGGGGTCCAGTCCGAGCTAGCACCCCCTCCGTGACAAATCCTGGGTGGGCCATCGCCGGTTGCCTTTTATACGGGTTGAGCTAAATTAGGTTTGTTTTAGACGTATTTGGAAGGAAATGACAAATCAAAATAATAATTAATATAAGTACTGTATTGAACACAGTCGAGCTTGCACACGGGAAAGTTATCATACACGCAATCATAATACAAACGCTTTGCTGGTCCACATGATGGGAATTTAGGTCTTCAAAATCTGGCCCTCAGGAACTTAGATTTCGTTATCTTTGCAGCAGAGAAGGTGACAACATCTGCTCAACCGATGACAACATTATCAACACCGAAAGTGGAAACTTTCTGAACACGTTTTGCCGGCTTAATGTTATACTATTTGTCTTGTGCAGAGCACACTAAAACTGTGTATTCGTGCACTGGACCTTTCCTTAAATATCGATGTTGGGAGCCAAGATATCACAGCCAAGTGCTCAGTTAGGTTTGCTTTTAAATGGCAACCTTCTCTAAAACGTTTAGAGAAGGTGTATAATTCGACTTTTGAATTGTATTATGGCACACAAGTGTTATTCTAGGCGAGCAAGTTAGTTTTTGTGGGCACTCAAGGCTCGCCTGAAGACAACCACTCGCCATTTTTTATTTTAGACGTACAGAATATTCATGAGTCTACTACTATATTTGGACATCGTGTTTCTATTAATGGCACATTTAGTAGTGCGTGCATTCTTTGTTTTTAGGGTGCTTAACTTGTCACTTACATCGAGTTTGAAGTACATCTTTAGCTACATAAGCATGTGGACAGAGCAGTTCTGTAAACAGTGGGGTACACTTACACAATGGGATTGTCTTTGCAGCAGAAATTTAGTAATCTTTAAATGTTTACAAACATAATATATGACTCTGTGATGTTGCCTTTAAAGTATTACCTGTGTACATTACATGGTCTTCCTGTTTGTATTTTGGATTTTCTTGTGCTAATTTTCTGTCAACCCTTTCCTGCATGTTTCTCTCGTATTTCAATTTTACCGAACGATGACGAGGATTGTGGAATGAACCAGTTAAGAGTCTAATTTCCTCTTCGTATCTGGCTGTTTGGCTGGAAAGAGGGCGCCCTGGAAGCCCGGTCCTATATACTAAATGAAAACATACCATATTATACCAAACATGCAGTACAGTCACGCCATAGAAATTACTCAGTGTGTGTTTGGGGCTCTCAAGCAGTAATAAACGTTAGACCTGCTGATAGGAGATGCTAAAAGAAAATTTCCGCCTTTTATTGTTTCTCAAAATACTGTTGTCGCCTTTTTCTATCCCGAATAAAATTAGGAAAACACATCAATCGAGTATTGTCTGCGGCTTACCCTTCAGGATCCTTGCTTTTCCTTGTCAGGAACTGAGGGTATGACTTATAACAAGAGGTGCGATATCGAACCTCCAAAGAGACACAGTCTTTGTCCCAAATGTGTATCAAGACATTCTCGTCTCTTTTGCTCTCTGCTGCTCGACAAAAGATTCCTGGAAAAGAAATATAAAAGAAAATACAATTTAAACCATAGTACTTGTGCTCTTAATCTTCTAACCAATTTGTTAAATGCTATTTGTTGCTAGACATTTTTGGAATGATTGTTTGCACCGTCTGTATTATCAGTCCAAATAAAGGCCACTGCTCAATGTGGACCCTTAATCAGGGCTCTTCGTGTACTCTGTCAATGCTTGGGTCAAGGATGGATGTATAAAACAGCTTTCAAATATTCAAAAGTTTCACCCACTGACATCTGCTACATTTTATGCGCTGAAATTCCATCAGCACGTTCATTACTAATGCGACCAGCCATTCGCTGGTTGTCGTTTCAAGGGAATATGCGGGTGAAGCTTTAAAAGTGTACATGTATCCATATCCAGGACCCAAGAGAAGGGCCTTGTTTATGGGTCTATTGCTTAATGCTGCCAGCTCTGGTGAGATTGAAGCACACTACAGCATGAGGATTTGTATTGTTACCTCTGTAGATTTATGGCAACTTTGCAAACCTGTGGTAGTAATGTGCATGCTCCTGCCTTATTTGTATATTCCATGGGAAAGGTCCACTCGTTGAGTCCAAGTTCCTAGAAATAGCTTCAGTGGTGGGCATGTATTGATATACCAATATAAACCTTACCTACATTGTAAATTATTATTTATTTGATTTCGAAAGCTACTTCAATCAACATGCCCTTGCCTGATTGCAATGTAATAGTACATGTAGTAAGGCAGCTTATCTCCATCCGAAATTTCTGCCTGCAACAGCTTATCCTTGACATGCTTGACATATTTCCCATGTCGGGTAACGAACAACTCTACTTTCTTCCATCATGTCCATGACGCATGCGAGTTAATATACAACCTTACACTTATGAAACGCCAAAAAGGCATTTAATGTGAATGCCGAATCGGTAGGCAACACACCAGACATTGCCAGACTCAAAGTCATGAGAGCTATTCTTGAAGATCTTCCAGAAAAAAAATCTGTATCTAGCCCAGAGCTTTTTAGGGGAAGAAGATGAAGCTTCAGAGGGAGAATCTCCGTGTAAGTATTGTTTTGGGCAGCATTTACACGTTTAAAAACATCCGGTGACAATGTACATGATGATGTACATATGTACATGCTTCGTCACAGCTGGCATAGTCTGTGCAGCGTGCAGGTAGTCCCTCGCACTTGGTTTGTTCGGTGATTTCGCGATCTCTGCCGCATAAATCAAGCCAAGTTTTGGCACATGAAGTGACTTTTCTCCATCAGGCATTCGTAAGGGCTTTTACTTTTTCAAACTTGTCCGATTCTACACGCATTGAATTCTGGAAATTCGTCGATGTTGACGTTAAGGCGCATGGCGTCCGCATCGTCGGATGTCACCATGTTTACTGATTCGTGTCATGACTCACGACCTTCGTTCTGGGCTCAGATTGGACAATTTGCATCACGTAGTCAGATTACACCATTCGCGAACGATTTTTAAACGTGGCAAATTTCACACATAGAGCTTCCCCGACCACAAAATAGTTCGCTCTTCCTACCCAAATTATTAAAAAAACTGCAGGATAACTTGTGGAGAACTTTTGCATTTGTCATCTCTGGTAATTTATGTACTCGATTCTGTTGAGAAAATCTATTCCCGCAGTTTTTGGAACGAAACGAAAGAATTTAGGGGTTCAGCTGACTGCCTACAAGAAAGGTGATGAAACCAGACCGGTCGTAGATGCAGCAGCCAGTCGAACAAATCTGCCACATAAAGCATAGCCCGTAGATCTAGAGTCATCAGCCCGACGACGTAAAAACACTGCTGGTACATACAACCATTTTCAGCATGGAACCCTAGCCCGGTAAATCTGTATGGCTCCCATCTTAAGTCTCGAGATCCCTACTACCTCCACCGTAAGTTCAAAATAAAATTCTGCTGTGACATCCTTTCCGTAGTAATAAACCCCTGATATAAATTTGCTAACAATAAGAAAAACATTCCTGGATCGCCACTCCGACACGTCTGTACTAAATAAAAGGTCAAATGCCTATAGCAGAGAAAAACCCAAGGTCGTGTTAGCACTGAATTCGCACCAGAGTGTATAGTATTTATATGCATGTACGTTGGGTAAGGCAAAAACCCCGTAATATAACAATTTTCACACCTCGGTATTTGTCTATGGCAAGTTTCAATTTTGTCGAACTTGTGGTTCTGGAGATATTGGCTTGCCATAGGTCACGTGACAAATGAAGACTTCATCAAGACTTCTTGTATAAAAAAAAAGTGATAAGAAATTTAGTTTCAACATATCCAGTGAATTTCATGCTGGTGAGAACTTGTTTAGTATGTGAAACAAAATTCACATTTCTGGATGACGCTATCATGATGTAACAATTTTCTTAACAACCTATACCTTTACTGGCACTACCAAAGAGCTTGCAAAAGGATTTTTGAAAATGTATGTGTTTTAAAAGCTGTCAATACCGATAATAGACTCCTGAGAGGACTTAGCAAATCTAATATCAGATGGGGTCCCTATAACCAAAATGTCATGTGAAAAAATTGAAACTATGAGCTGTTTTGAACCTAAGCTTCCACAGTGTAATACCTGCAATAATTATGAAGAAAGTCTCTGACCTTAGGGTTTTTACTCGTTGATTACAAACACATGATTACGTAAATAAACCTCCATCAAACAGATTTCTATTACGTAATTGAAAATATCTTCGCAATGCAACATGAGCTCCAAATGAAATGTTTAGCACAATTCAAAAGCACTGTAAGTTAAATTTGATATCTCAAACAACAATTTCTAACAACTATTTCGGGACAAAATAAACGTTAGTTTTAAGTTTCGTTTATCAATAATTTTTTTTGGAGGACACCCTGTAGTATGAACCCTCTGCTAGGTACATTGTGTGTTTATAGCGTGTGATGATGTATCGTCAATATCTTACAATCGACAACTAAAATCAACTAAAAATACAATGAACTGGCAAAAGTGCGCAACTTCATCACTGAAACGCAATTAGTTTAAGCAAATTCAGGGACTAGTCGGTATGTTTGATGATTATTTTTCAAGCGGGGTTCACATTTTTTATTCTGCTGGTAAAAATGTTTGACTTTGGTAAACGCAAAGTCGGTGTAGAAAGTTGTTGACTTGCATTGATTAAAATTAAATATTGGTCAAGGCCACAATTACTTTTTCGACATAGCGGTAATCGAAAGCCAGAAATTAAATGAAAAGAGAGTATGACAGAACCTTTATTTTTTATGGAACTGTCTAAAATTATCCTGTTGTTTGATATAGAGTTCGTGAAGTTCACGTTTGTGAGTCTGGGTAATCTTATCAGAACCAAAAATATACTTACAACCCAGGCATTATTAATTTTGCTTAATTATATAGCGACGCAGTTGGACAAAGACATCATTCGAGTATCTTCTTGAGATGGATAAGATGGACTTCTCCTGGTACGTCAATTTCGACCACATTAACATTTGATTGCCTCCAAACTGCTTATAAAGACTTGATCTTGCCACATTTTGGCATACTGAGGCTCGGCGTGTACTGCTTCTTCTAGTGCAACCTTTGTTGTTAATACCGTTGGTTCAACAGCTTACAATCACCACCATCATCATGAATCGATTCATCGTTTTGCTGGTTCTTTGCGCCATTGCAGGTGAGTTGATAATTCACGTAGCCTCTATTGGTGTTCCCTCGTGGTGAATACGCATCAATTAATAGTATCTTACGGTTCTGTGTTAGTCTTCTGAATGTTGGCCTTGCTAATCACAGTTGCCTAATTGGTCCCTGAACGAACGAGCGATGACTATGTCATCCTTTCCAACTTTGTCAGCCTGCACTCACGCTATAGCTCAAGCACCTCATCACAGGCTGTGGGCCTTTCCGACCCTCGTGCGTACCCTCCGTGAACAAGCAATTACGCTAATTAACGTGTCTGTTCCACATACAGACAATGCATACACAATCTGAGTCTCAAATGCCGCGGTGAGCTGGTCACAGGACGGACAATCCCGCTCATTGGGTACGACTTGGGACCGGTTAATGCATGATCTTTTTATGGATGTATGAAGAACCTAATTCTGTGGGCGAACTCGATAAATATTCTGTTTGTTGTTTTTTTCCTTTAATATTTTTGTTTTGTCGAATTTCGGAACGTATTTTAGTCGGAGGGATCACAGACTCCCTACCATTCCAGTTATTTCTGGCTATTTTTAGCAGTCCTTTCACCATGTGCGCCGTGCAGGTCGCCTCACGTTACTTTCAGGAACCAAAAGCTGAGTTTGGATTACCAATTAAGACCTGAAATAATAATTAATACTCCACACCCAGCAAATAAGGGAAATTTTCTAATTTTTTAAATGTTATTTAGGTTTTGTGCGTTTGTAATGAAATAAATTAATTTGTAATATGTACCTCTGTCACTTCGTTTTCTTTAATTCTTAAATTCCGGTGGTTTTCTTTATAGTGCAACAAATCAGTGGCCACCCAGACGCGGCTGTCAAAGAGGGAGGGAGAGCGTAAGCAAAGTTATCTGTAGTTTGCTTAAAATAAATCTTCAAAAAGACATTCATACTGTCATTGGTCTGTTTATTTAGAAACAAAATTGGTCGGACTTAATTAACTATGTTTAAGACCTTTGGAATCTGTAGATGACATGGTAATTATAAGCTTTATTATCCTCCTAAAAGTATCTAATGCATCAAAATTGTAATTACCGTTTTGTGCAATTCAGCAAAAAAAAACCAAATATTCATATAATGTTAACTGCAATGCTGTGTGCTTTTCCATATCCCAACTACAGTTCATCTTGTGACTTGTCAATGTCTGACCTAAATACGCAACATGCCAGCTTGATATTTGACCTTGAACCAGACGAAATATGGCCGTAATGTCATTGCTGATCGGCAAGAAAAATATCATACCGTTAGAAATGCGTTCACTCCTCAATATTTTTGTCAGTAACTACAAAACCAACACTTCCACATAAATATGGAGTTGAATTGAACGTGACAATTTGGAATACGGAGAGCCAATTACTTCGATATTTGGGATAATTTATTTTTCAATTGCGAGGTGTACTAAAGAGCGTGCCCCGGCGCTTTACATCAACTTTTCTTGAACTGTCAAGAAGTTTACATTCACTGCTCATATTTAGGCAGTTTTGTATGACAATCCACTTCAAAAAGGTTTCAACAGAAGGGTTCTCTTACCCGAAATTTCCCCGGAACACTTTCGCTTCTATAATAAAAAGGAAATACCTTGTGAGTTAAACCCAAATCAGTCAATATTTTCATCTACTTTCCATGCTTGGGCAAACTGAGTATTTTTTTTCATTGGTTTCAAATACGATTCATTTTAGTAGGTTAAACTGGAATTATTACCCGACCCTACATTTCCCTTGGCGGTACAACCCACCCAGGTTTGACAGGATGATTTCACTTCTTTGAGTTAAATTCACTCGAAATTCAGACATCACCTATCGACTGGAGTGTAATGAAGCGTACGAGGCATTCAGATGTCGTTGATCCATTTGATGCTGGTTGATATTTTGCCAACCGCAGTCTACTTCATTGGTCTTAAAGCACGACCTTTAATTTATAGGAGGTGATATAATAGCCGTCTTGGCCCTATTTTGTGCAGGGTTCGCGGCCATCCGCACTACTGTGGAGCGACTCTTCAAGAAAAATACCGCGAGATTTGCCACGCGTTCCGTGCAGCCTCCAACCAAGGTAGTTAAACCAAAAATCATATTGAAATGTTGTCTCGATCTCTCACCCGTGGTAGTAAGGGTAGTCTCCCCGGGAAGGATTGTTCCTTCTCTTGCCTGCTCTGAGACGAGCCTGGTTACGTATGTCTGAAACCTTCTGTCCAACCCCCAAAACAGCTAATTTCAGACTAATCCAATTCTCTGCTTTCTCACCAAGGCTTTTCCATAAAAAAACGTTTGCATAATCTAAGAACTCGTAAAGCACTACTTGTCACGATGCTGTCACAAAAACGCATTCTCTTCACATCTCAAAGAAACTGAAAACTGAAATCCAGCAAATTGGTGATTTTCATGCCATTTTCCTCTTTTCTCTTTCATTCTGTATTTCACGCCTTTTATTCCAATTTTTCGGATGTGGGAGTCCCACCTTGTCTCCATCGACCGACTGTACACGTCATGCTTGGGAAGATTGCAGAAAACTTTCTTGCTAATTAAAGGGCCCTCTCAATTCTGCTCACTCTGCTGTTTTTAGAAGAATTGATTTTTTTTTAAAGTTGGGCTAATAATGAAATACAATATATTTATAGAGTTATTCCTAGTTAACTTGAACAAACTCAACATTCCACTTTTCTCCCTTGTCACTCGTGCTGCAGAGTTTCTGGATTCAAAGGACGCCAACACATTCTTGTTCGGACGTAGTATCGGGAAGCGAAACCTTAACGAGGAATGCTGCGGCGAGGGATGCTCCGATGAGGAAATTTATGAACTCTGTTAAAGGAGAAACCAAAGTGAACCCAGCTGACTTCTTGCCATTGGCATATTCAGCCTTAGAACAAATAATGTTTTCCCTATCAAACGGAGATAGGATTGGTGGCGGTTTTCTTCATTGAATAATAAACATAAAATGGCATTTGTTTCCTTTTTGACATTTCGTGAACATACATGTACAGTACAGAGCTCCCATTTTTAATCTGTATGTATGTTTATTCCCATTTCTGGGGAGTCAATTCTGCCCCCAAAGTGTCGGCTCTCTCAAAAGAAATTTTTGGACCTTGAAATGCATAGCAAAAAAATATCTCAAGTTTTGATCCAACCGAATGGGTCCATCTTTTCTCCTAGAAGACAATTAATGGATGGTCTGCGCTCTGATCACCCTTCAGGTTCCTCAGGGTTAAAATGAAGTATTGAAAGACATAACAGCTTACCTTTCAAACTAAAACAACTTTCCTATTCAGACAACTATGTACTTTTGTTTGCACGCGAGATACGCAGTTCTGTATTTTGATGGAAGTCTTCTGATCAAGTAATTAAAACAAACAGGAATAATTCCTGCCTGTAATGTGCCTTTGGGTCATCCGACGAAGGCAGTAGACTACCAAACCTTACCCAAAAACGTTTCCGTGCCAATCCATACTAAAAATTAATGATAATTTATTGAAATTAGCAAGACTAATCGCGGAGGGCGTATTTAAAGATTACCACGCCCTTTTAGCTGTTCTTCCTTTTTGCTATTTCATCTTTTCCATCAGCACATCCGTGATTTGAGTCTGCATGAGAAATTAAAGTTTACTTGCAAAACAGTCCATTTGTAAACTGTGTGATGATTTTTAAAACAAGTAGCTTCTGGACATTGCAGAACGTCAAACTATTTGTAAGATTGGCTGTCCGGGACATCATTTTAATTTTTGCACTAAAGGCTAGACAGCATTAACCAAAGTTGGCAAAGCGTAAGGAAAACAAAGGAAAAGTCTCCAACACTTGAAATTGATCCAGTTATTTATAGGTACACAAATCTGATTTATGGCATCGTAGCTCGCATCCCTCAATCTTCACTCCCCGTGCCTGGCAGAGAGTTCTTAAGTTAAAGTCCAATTTTCCTCCATGTACTTTTTGTGTCATATCAAGCGCTGGATGAGCTGTCCCCCGGTTGTCCCCCAGTAAAACTGTCCAAGGAACAGCATTACCAGGTACAAATGCCCCCCCCAAGTAAATCAGCCCCCCTCAATGTTATTTTGTCCCATCCAGGTAATTTTGTCCCCCCGTTTTCCCACACAGAAGTTGCCATTTTCGTATTGGGTTGATGAGTTCAGTCTACATAACATACAGTTCGATTTTTTTAGCCCTTCATCAAGGTTTCAAATTGGGGGACGGGGATAAAACCAACCGTGCCATGTTTCTGCACGAAATCGGACATAGTAACAATCCGTATTCTGCACACTTGTTGCAGGAGTAGTAATTACTCTCAGTTCCCGGGCGCGGTGCGGTGAAGGGGGGTACGGAGACCCGTTAATGCCGATTTAAACTCGGCAAAAATATTTTTATTACGAAATACCGCAATGATATGTTGCGAAATAACGCACTACGTTTGCAAAATAACGCGATAGTTTTGGTGATCTTATGATTGTTGCGCCCTCTCGCGTTTTGTCTCACCGCGCACGCACCGCACGCTAAAATCACTTCCTATGGCATTCTGTATGCGTTCACGTTGTTCACGCTCGCTGCTCCGCAGGTCATACTCAAGCCGTTTGAGCGCTCAGGAGTATACTCGTATTAACAGGAGTAGCTCACTCGAACGCACCCCCTTCGTCTGCTCCAGTATACAAAGAGCAATATCAACAATGGATGACTTCACAGTTAAAAAATTATGTTAGATAACAGTAGATTCAGTTGTCGAGTGGCATTACAGAAGTTGCTGTTTGGGACAGCACACTCTACTGTCAATTTTCTCTGTATACTGACAGGAGATTCTATAAGAAATAAAATTGATTCGTACGTACCGGTACGGATTACTATTTCGTACGTACGGATTACTACTTTGTAATGATCCTGGGCACTTGTAACATTCAAAATTCCGTCTGGAGCAGAAGCGCCCCCTCATCGGTAGAAAAGAGCCAAGCTGTTGAGGAGTTTTGTGGTAGGGTTGGACACGTACACAACGCATGTATCTCATTATCATTGGCGAAACCGCAAAGTGGAGTTCCTACAAGTGTTGTAGTCGAGTACTTTCCGAGTACCAACATTCTCCGCAAAATACTGAACTGGGTAAAAGGGAATAAAGCCAGGGTGCACTGGCATTTGATGGTAAATGTGCAGAGGTAAGATTACAAAATGAATGTTAGACTTTAGACACTCCCAGTTGCGTAAAATTTAAGTTTTAAGGAGACAAGTACTCGGAAAGCTCTGATATAGTTGTAAACCCCACTCCCGTATGGCGGAGGGGAGAGGAACTAGAGCATATCATAAGCTTTTTTGGGGGGGATCAAGTCTGAGCTAGGATCCCCTCCACTACAATAACTGGGTGCACCACTTGCCTTTCATAGGGCTTGAGCTATGTTATTTTTAGACACATTTGGAAAGAAAGGAAAATTTCATAATTAATAGAATTTCGGTACTGAACACAGTTGAGCTTGCACACAGGGAAAGTTATACCATAAAACAAACGCTTTGCTGGTTCACAGGTTGGGAATTTAATTCTTCAGAATATGGCACCTGTCACAGCTAGGGTAATTGGATAGAAGCTGCAGTTGGAAAGGAAGACCACACTGAAAACAGTCCAATGATTGCAAGTACAACTGTTCTTCGTACACAACTAAAAAGAATATTTAATTATCACTTCCAATCAATCTTAAATAAAATCCAAAAATAACCTTTTCAGATAAAGTATTCCCATATATCGTTTTTTTAAGCTTTCACTATTTATTTCCTATTTTGATCTACTGTACAGTATTATGTGGTATGAATTTAAAATTGGCACTTTTGATTGAGCAAAATTTTTTTATTAACCTTTGCTGGGAACAGTGATTAAGTGTTGACCGATGCTTACGTAAAAATCAGCTTTCTCTTCAACTTTCACATTACTCTAAATGATCACTCTTGTTATTCACACACATAAAATCGTCAATGTAAACTTAGCAAAATATGTGCTCAGCCTAGAAGACCAGAGTTAGAAATTCAAGGCAATGTTCTAAAGACAACCGTTTTATTCAGTTGAAGACCCTTGTTTGTCTAAATTTAGGATGTTTTTCGCAAATCCTCAGGGCCAACATTAAGAACCAACTAAAGCAGTTAACGACCAGTCTGGGACATGAAATTCATGTACTTCGAAATCAAAAGCAATGTTTTGGCTACTAATTTTACTCATTAGAGGACCTTGGGCTAAGCGACAGGCAATTTCAAATCATGAGTTCATATCTTTTTTTGTGTTGGACTATCAACTTTCCTCTCCGGAGGGCGTTACTTCATCTCAAACCAAAGGACAGATGGGAAAACTCTGTCCTCAGTGATAATTGTTAACGAGTAATTCATACTGGAACACAAGCGATTTACTAGAGTGATGTGTACCCAGGCATCAACTACACGTTTTATATTAAAACAGTGACTGCAGTGTGAATAAAGAGATAGAAGATGGCAGCCCCCATGAAAAGCTCAACCAACGTTTAGTGAGTCTGTTCCTTTTGTCCCATTTACTGGGTAGAAAGAACCCATAAATACAACATAGTGGCAGCGGTGGTCCCAGTAAATATTAGCGGACATAACAGTCACGTTTACAGGATCTAATCAGCATTGCAGTGCAGAATTTCAGGGCCCAAAGTTTGGTAGTTCTTGTCCGATTTTTGCCGCACATGCACTTGTACTTTTTGCATATACGTTGCTCAACGGTAATTTCCGATCATGTCGCAGTCAGAGGGGGCGCATGCTAGTTCAGTTTTGATTGGGCGATTAGATCCCTATGATCAAGTAAAAGAGATCACCAACTACCTTGAACGTTTGGACCTGTTTTTCAAGGCCAATGATATTTCAGCTGCCAAACAGGCTGCTGTTCTGTTGAGTTGTATTGGGGCACCTGTGTACAAAACCGTGAAGAGTTTGTGTGACCCTGAGGCAGTCTCTGAAAAGACATATACTGAACTGTGCACTCTGCTCAAGTCTCACTATGGGCCTAAACGCCTTGTGATCGCTGAACGGTTTCGGTTCTATCAGCGCGGTCCAAAACCTGGTGAAACCGTGGCACAGTATTCCGTTGAACTGCAAACCCTGGTAGGACCCTGTAAATTCGGCTGTTTTCTAGACGATGCCCTCCGTGATCGCCTGGTCTGTGGTATACACTGTGAGTTTATCCAGAAACATCTGTTGACTAAAGATGGTTTGACATTCTCTAAGGCCATTGAACTAGCCAAAACACTCGAGATGGCCAATAAGGATCTACAGGAAATGAAGGCTAGGGGAGACGGCACTGTAGTCCAGGCTGTCCAAGAGTTAAAACCGCGCCAGCCACGGCGCTTCAACAATCCTCCAAGCAAGGATCAGCGTTCCCCCCACCCTCGGCCTAGTGGGGATTGTGTAATAAGTGTGGCTATGACTCCTCCATCAAAACATGCCTTGCCACAGGACAACACTGTAAGAATTGCAAGAAGATGGGCCGTTTTTCTAAAGTCTGCCGTTCGAGGCCCAAACAGATGCGAGCCATTCTCCCAACTGATTCATGGCCACACAATGTCATTTCTGCTCGACACTGGATCAGATGTCAATATTCTTCCGCAAGACATTTTCAACTCACTGAATATTCCTGATAAGAACCTCCAGCCATCCTCAACTCGTCTGACTGGCTTCTTTGGAGGGAAAGCCACGCCCATCGGCGAGAACACACTGATATGCCAAGTCAAAGGCAAGACTCAGACTTTGCGGCTCCTCATTTTGGCTCAGGGTGAACCAGTCATAGGCAAGCACGCCTGTGAATCACTTGACTTGGTGCTACGTGTCTACACTCTATTCGGCCATGAGAGTGTTTTTGAAGGAGGGGAATGTCTGCATGGTCAAACAGTCAACATCAAGATAGATGGAGCAGCCATTCCTTACTGTGTCACAACTCCTCGTCGTATCCCCATCCCTCTCATGCCCCAACGGAAGGAAGAATTAGACAAGATGGAGAATCTGGGCATCATTCAGCGGATCACCAAACCCACTGATTGGTGTTCGCCCATTGTGATCGCACCGAAAAAGAATGGTGCGATCCGTCTATGTGTCGATCTCAGACAGCTAAATAGAACCACAACCAGGGAGAGATTCACCATACTGACTGTCAAAGAAGTCTTGGGAAAAGTATCTGGCGCCCAGATATTCTCCTTACTCGATGCCAAACACGGCTTCTGGCAAGTACCACTTGCTGAGGACAGCCAGGAGTTAACGACCTTCATCACGCCATTCGGGCGCTTTTGCTTCAATTCTCCCATTTGGCATCACGTCAGCCCCAGAAATGTACTAACGAATAATGAGTGACCTGTTGATCGGAATACAAGGGGTTGTGGTATACATGGATGATGTTCTGGTCACTGGCCGCACAAAAGAAGAACACGATGAACGACTCCAACACGTTCTCACGATTATACAGAACGCTTGGATGAAGCTCAACCGAGACAAGTGCAAATTAGCTCAGAGAAAGGTTAACTTCCTTGGCATGAAGCTGGACAAGGATGGCATCCATCCCGACCCTGCAAAGAGAGCAGTTATCATACAGATGGTGCCACCAACTAAC